GATACGAACTTTCGGTATCCACTAGGATCAGAAAGAGCCATTTCATCCAGCATCTTCCAAATACCGTCGATACAGCGTAAACTCGACATTTATAATGCGCGAATGCACAAGACTCCATTCATTTGGTTACTTTAAAGTAAAACTAGACCAAACTAAAACCATCAGCTGATTACGATATAAAATAATTTCGATGGAAAATGAAGAATACTGTGGGACGATATAAAATAGTTCTAAAAATCAGGTAATTTCACATTCAGCACTGCAAGCTTACAGCCAACCGGTGACTAATGGTATGATACTTAACAGCCTTTATTATCTTTCTTAAAATATGCGAACTCTGATTTGTTACAAGGCGCCTGTTATCTATAGTTTAAAAGTTGCAGTAAAACTAGTAAATTAAAGTATCGATTAACGATGGAAAGCTGTAGATTTTATTCGTTTTTGAAACATCCGAAGACGTTGAAAGCAAAATTTTAAATTTTGAAACGAAAATTATTTGACCTTTCATTTTTTCTCTAGAATCTAGCATTTTGTCTGGGCTGCTAGGCAGTTTTTCGGATAAGTTGCTTCCTATATCTTGACGGTGCTGCGTTAGCGTACCCCATCTTCACATGTTTATTCTGTTGATTTAGTTCGCAACCGGTTCACTCTCAGTACCTATGTACCTTATTCTCCTTATTTTTACCATTTCCCCGCAAATTAACGCATATCAATTGTGCTCAGATGTTGGTTACGGCGATTTGGAATGCGAATTCAACTCCAGTTGTCAGTATGGGCAGATAGTTAATGTTATGTGCAAATCTTTGATTCCTTGTCGGAGTGTTTCTAATGCATCAGATTCGGTGCATTTTCGCCAAACTGTCTGCCGTTATTGTCACCAGTTGACAAAGAAATCAGATTTCTTCTGCAAACCGCCCTCAGGTGAGTGCGCACAACCCGGTGTTGCGCGCAGTTATTACGTTGCCAAGTGTCATGCTAATCCTGCTATTGTCTGCATGGGTCGTCGAGAATTTTTGCGAATGCTTCCGTGTACTCAAGATTCAGGCAAGAATTATGGCACTACAGTCATTTTGAGTTTGTTCCTCGGAGGTCTTGGTGCGGATCGCTTCTACCTCGGTATGTGGAGAGAGGGTCTTGGAAAGCTCTTTACCTTTGGTGGACTTGGAGTGTGGAGCATCGTTGATTTCGTCCTTGTTGTTGTCGGATATATCTGTCCAGCTGATGACATGACGTATTGGAGGAATATACCATCTATTTGATTTTTTACTTCTCACACAATCATATGAATTGAACTCTAGTTGCAGACGTGGGAAAACCAAGGGCTGGCACAATTTTCCACCATTTCTGTTAGTTTATCTGCAACGTTGTGTCACGATACTAAGCCAGCTCACTTATTTCACTACTGGAGGGGCTGTATCAACGGAACCTGAACACTAAATGCCAGCATTGATGACGTTTTCCGTGCTACTTTGGCGCTTAAATCGTCTCCATGTGCCTAAGCTTCCGTAGTTACGCGAACGCTAGCCGCATTACGAACCTATGTAGGTATTCTCGGGCTTTTAGTATGTTTTCCCTCCATTACGTGTCACTAAAATAAAATTTACTACAGCCCAAAGCGCATGTATCGTCCGCAAATTAGTATGGCGCATCATAAAAGCGTGATTAACGACCTCGTCGAAGAATGCCTGCATTGGCAAACCATATCCATATCGTTATCTGCGAATGACTGGGGGAAGGTTCTTTCCGCCAAACGTTGTATTACTTTCAATGACAACCTCGAGTTTTTTGTCCAGACAGTGACAATTTTTAGACCTAGTCTACCATTGCTCCACCGTCAAGAATAAAAATGAGGAATGAGGTACGAACAAATTCATTAAAAGACGGCTTAAGAATGTTTTACT